GAGGGCGCACCTCTAGCCACCCAAGTACAAATGCCTGGCTCACACGCTGCCACCCCAACAGTGCAATTTTGCTTTCCATGTTGGTCCTGGAGGGTGGAGACTCAGTCTAGTTCTTTCTTAGCCTAGAGCTGGGGCACACAGTGGTGGAAAAGAACTAGCAAGGGCATTTTTAAAAATTCCATAAAGCAACAGGATCTCATATTCTCATGGAATCCAGATTTCCTGGATCCATGGGGGTGGAAGGACCCCCAAGCTATCGCTTTGAGGTGATCTTTAAACCTTAAACCAAAAATATCCCTAAGTTGTCTGTCAACAAAACACCATGCTTTTTAAAGAATTATCTGTATGGGATCAAATTGACAATAGCAACTTGAAAGGTCAGACAGGAAGCTTAGGGGACAGTAAGTTTATGCTAAGTTAAAACCAAAAACCAAACCCACTGCTGTGGAGTCGATTCCAATCCACAGCGCCCCTAGAGGACAGAGTGGAACTGTCCATAGGGTCCCCAAGGCTGTCATGCTTAATGGAAGCAGATTGCTTCATCTTTCTCCCATGGAGCAGCTTGTGGCTTGATACTGCTGACCTTTCTGTTAGCAGCCGAGCACTTAACCACTGTGCTACCAGGGCTCCTCTTATATTAAGTGGGGAGGAACCACTCAGAAAAGGGGGTGAGATGGTCACATGACGTGCGTAAGGCACTGATGTCCCCGAACGGTGCCTGTAGAGATTGTTGGACTGTACATTCTGCCGTGTGTGTTCTCAGCAACAACAACAAAACAATTTGAAGAGATTCCATAAGACACTGGAACCCCTTTTACCTTCAGCCCTCTCCCACGGAGCGCTCTTACTACTGTACAGAAAGGGTTGGCTCCAGACACATGCGTGGGAGTCCCGCCTCTCCTGGGCTTGCAGAAATGCATATTCCAGGGCTACAGCCCCAGTCACTAGGTCAGGCTTCAGTAGAGATATGCCCACTTACCCACGCCGGTGTGACTGCTTTGCCCATTACTACCGTTGCAGCTACTTTCTAATGTGTGCAGGATGTCCACATACAAGGGGCTCTGGTGGCGCAGTCCCTAAAGCATTTCATTGCTAACCTGAAGGCTGGCAGTTCAAACCCACCAGCTGCTCTGCACAAAGTCGATAAGGCAATCTACTTCTGTGAAGACTTACTGCCCTGGAAACCCAGTGGGGGTCGCTATAAGTGTTGGGGGGTGCTGCTGGTGTCTAGAGGGTGCAGGCCGACATCCTGCAAGCCCAGGACAGCCCCAGCGGAGGACTGAGCAGCCGCAAGTGCTCACTGAGCCGTGGCCCTTTACAGGTGCCTGTGAGAGCGGTGCAGGAGAATGTCCTCAAAGTGCAGTTGCTGGAACCAGGGCCGCCTTGAAGGCTCAGTGGCACCCTGGAGAGCGCATGTGACTTCATGGCCACACCGCACAGGGAGAGCATACATTTCCCCACCTCTGCCCTCGTGGGTGTTCCCAGCCCAGCCACAACCCGGCCCACCAGGGTTCAATGCTGGCTCTGCCCCTTCACAGCTGGGCTTCTCGCAGCTGGAGTCTCCTCACAGGCTGTGACCTTCACGGGGCCTCGCAAAGACGTGTGCTTACAGTATTCACACCTCCCACGTGCAGTGAGTGGGTTACACCACCCACCCCAGGAGCAGCCCCTGGTGCCCCCCGCCAAGCACCACCAGGTGCGAGTGTACCCCGTGGGTGGCTTTGCTCACTGACACCCTGATAAGCTCTCGCTCTTATCCAACTCATGAACAGGATCCTTGATGGGACCACCACCAACTGAAAACAATCAGGCGAGCAGCAGGGTCTCCAAGAGGTGATGCACACGCAGTGGGGGGTGAGGTGCACGCACAGTAACGTACTGCTGTTACCACGCGGGGGGCAAAGGGGAGGAAGGCACCCCTCCCAGGGCTTGCATTTTAGGGAAACGCCTCAGTCAGCGTCCCCCACCCCTTCTTCAGGAGGGTCCAGCACCACCTGCCCCCACACCCACGTTTGTGGCAGGGCTGGTTCCTGAAGTGGTTGTGATGCACTGGGCACAATGACTAGAGGAACCCACGGTGCCATGTGTCAACGGGGCCTGGGGCCTGGGATTCCATTTTCACAGCACAGTGACGAAGATGACGGTGATGAGGATGGTGGTGGGAGCACCACGCCCTTCACTGTGCTACCTCATCCGTCTCCCCGACAACCTGCAGGAAGGCTGTCACTTTGCGCTAAGGAGGAAGCTGGGGGCCAGAGGCTCAGGGACATGCCCAGCTATCCCTGTGGTGCATCGGGAACGGGGCAATCGGTCTGCAGGCTGGGGCTGCAGAGGGTCCCTCTGGCCCCACGCAGGGCACCCGAAGGCCTGCTGGAGGCCTCTCTCCTCAGCCTGTCCTGCTGACCCAGGCTCAGGTGATGGGTTCATTCTGCTTGTCTTTGCTCCCAACCAATGACACAAACCCACGGCCACTCTGCTGGATGGGAGCAGGCCTGCCTGTGTGGTCACAAAGTCACGGGCACGCCTGGTAAGTTGATGAGTCAGCCGAGAGAGCCAGGGCCGTTCATCCAGAGAGTGGCACATCTCAGTGTGGGCTAGCCACGAGATTGGGAGCTTCCCGGCTGAGATGTCTTGGGGATGAACTTCCAAGCACAGTTGACATTAGGTGCTGTCGAGTCAGATCCAACTCACAGAGACCTGCCCATGAAGAGAGACAAGCTCAGAGCAGAACCAGCATCGTCCTGCAGAGTGCCGGGCCAGCACCCAGCCAGGGGTGCTGGGCACCTCAGAAGAGACTGGCACCTGCGGCGTCGGTTGACAAAACATCTGATAACAATTTCCTAAAGCATTTGTGCAGGACCAGGGAACACCCACAAAATTTCCATCAGTGGTGAACTTCACGTAAACCAAACTGTGCTCGTTATGAGAAACGGTCAAGGATCTACTGCCTGGCCATTTCCTGCTTCCCCACGACAGAGATGGAAAGGTAAGGAACTGGCCTCAGCAAGTGGGAGCAGGGTTTGACCCACGTGCTGCAGAGAGAAGGACATCTCCACCTGAGCGGCTCTCTCCCAAAAGAAGTGTGATTCGTAAATGTCTTCTACGACCAATACCAGTCTTCCCTGGGGGACATGTTGAGTAGAGATCCCCAACTTTGGGGAAGATACAGAGTTTTGAGACTGTGACAAAAGCACAGGAGCCCTGGGTGGGTGGAATTTCAGAGCCTCTGGGAGGAGCCCAGGCTTCCCCATGGTGCGCCATAAATGGGGCACTCGGTCCTGCAGGCTGGGCCGCAGAGGCTCAGGGGCCCCGGTTATGTCCCCTGCAGCAGACAACACGGAAGGGGTTATGGATGCAAAGTGTCCCCTGAAAACACGGGAAACCCTGAACCCTGACACCCGGAGATGTCATCCGCTTTGGGGCAGGAAGGTCCCTGTTATGCTAATGAGGCCATATACAGGTACTTTTAAACCAACCACCTTGGAGATGTAGAGATAGCAGAGTAGTGACAAGGAAGGAAGGTCAGAGGGAGGGGCAGTGCCAGGTCACCCGCACACCGCCCAGGAGCCCAGGAGCGGAAGCTAGAAACAGACAAGGACCTTGCCTCCAGCAGGCGCCCTGAACGAGGACTGCAGCCGCCCACACGTGAGCAGATGCGTTTCTGTCATAGCCCCTCACCAGGTCTTTGTTACAGCAGCGCGAGGTAACTGACCAAAGGCTCCCTCGTGCCCCTCCCACAACGCCGTCTGCTGGAAGCTGCGGCATGTTTACGGGAAATCACTCCAGGACGCAGTGAGCCTGAGGACGTCGTGGTGCCAGTCTCTCCTGAGGCGCCCAGCACCCCTGGCCGGGTACTGGCTCGGAGCTCTGCAGGAAGATGCTGGTTCTGCTCTGAGCCGGTCTCTCCCAAACCGGCCGGTGCCGGGACCTACCGCACCACCATGCACTCTAGGAGCTGTCCCATTCGACCAGGTGCAGGAAGGGGGATGGCCAAGGACTGCCTGCAGTCAGCCACTGGTCATGGTGCCCGCCACCCTCACCCCTACGGTGCCTGCCGGGCCAGCATCTGTGGCATCTCACCCCATCTTCCACCCAGCACGCAAGGGAAAAAGAGCTATGTCCAAGCCCAGGTGCAGAAGGACCACGGTCCTTTTTGATTCTACCCCTCACATGTCCTCAGCCCCATGCTCCCACCTCCAGCCCAGAGTGACAGGAGCTCAGCAAAGCCTGGACCCTCCCCAAGGCTCTTCCTCTCCTCTCCCCCATCACAGGGGGTGGTCCACAGCCTGTCTACCCCCACACACCCATCACAGCGGGTGGTCCACAGCCTGTCTCCCCTCTCCCATCACAGGCGTGGTCTCTTTCGGTGGGGTGGTCCTTGAGGCCAGGACACAGCCATCACTCTTGCTCTAAGGATGAGTCGACGGGAACAAACAGAAGATGGACTTCCAGGGCTTGTGAAGGTCCGGCCCATGAGGCCCACGAGGTGGTGGCTGCCCCACATCTGGGACGGTCCTCTGACCTCTCTCCCCACTGCCATCCCCCCCTCCCCTTCCCTTAGAACTCTCTTCTGTGTTTTCCAAACGCTGGACATCGGCAACCCCCAAACCACCTCTTGCTGTGTCTGCAGAGCACATGTGCCATCAACACGTCAGTGGCCTCTGTCACCAGGCTCACCCTAGGCAGAACACTCACACAGTCATCGCTACACCCCATTTGTGTGTTTCCTAATGCTCATGAAAATCAATGCACAGTTATTACACCTAACAAGCCCACGTGGGCATCACCCCACCCTCCCTGAGCCTGGCTGCACACGTGCCTGGTGTTCTGGGAGGTGCGTTTGTGCCTGGCCCGGCGCCCCCACACCTGCCCCACTGCAGACCTGAGCCATGCCGCCCTCCCCTGAGCAGGCAGCAGTGCTCACTCACGGGCACGGGCTCCGAGTGCACCCAGACGCTCCCCCGGGAGGTGACTCCCCAGAGGCCCCGGCCCGTCCTCACCGGAGATGATGGAGTCGTTCAGCACCTCCTCATCCTGATACAAGAGTAAGTCGTCCTTGAGCTCGGAGTCTGACAGCAGGTTTTCCTTGTTCTCCTCAGACTCCTTGACAGCGGCCCGTCTGCCGTCCACGGCCCCGTCTGGGCTCCACGCCTCGTCCCTGTCCTTGTCCCGCTCCATGCTGGAGGTCCTCGACAGGCGGGCGTCCCCACGCTTCTTTGGGGACCCTTTGTTTTCTCTTCCCTGAAAACTGAACCAGGAAGACAGGTCAGCTCCTGCACGGCCCCTGGTCTTCCAAAGCCCAGAAATCTACCTGTGGGCTTACCCTGAACATCCAGATGTGGGGATGGAGGCCGACGACAGGATTATCAGGGCTCTGTGCAAAGCAAGAACCGCCCGCCCCGCTTACACCTGGAGGCCCTGGGTGGTGCAAACGTTAAGTGCCGGGCTGCTAACTGAAGGGCTGGAGGTTCGGGTGCACGCAGGGCACTGCGGAAGGAAGCCCTGGCAATCTCCTTCTGAACGACCAGCCTCTGAGAGCTCCGGTAGCGCAGCCCTCCTCCAGCACATGCGCAGTAGCCGGAGCCGGGCGCCAGCTGGCGGCAGCTGGTTCTGCGCTCTGCGTCCAGGAATTACTAAGGGTTTCAAGGTGGCAGAAGCTGGCAAACCAAGGACAGGCCTCCGCGGCCGCGGTCGGCACGCCTGTGCTGGGGCCCGCGTGGTGCCTCACCTGTCCTGCCGGTGCTTCGTGGCCAGTGCCCGGTGCAGCTCCTCAATGACCCGGCTTGGCGGCAGCGGCCTGTGGACCGTGGTCAGATGCGGGGACCCCGTGGGGGTGGAGAGCTGGCCACGCAGGGCAGGGTCTGAGCTCTTCACGCCAGCGCCTTGGAAGAGCATGGCTGGGCCTGGGGTGGGAGGAACCACGGGACGTCATTCTCCGAGGACGAGAGGCCTTGCTGACCGACAGGCAGACACACTGTGGTCACGCACTTCAGATCCCGGGGAGGCCCCCACTGAGCCCCAGCTCCAGGTCCCAGGCAGACCCTCTGCTGAGCCAGGGACCAGGACCCATCCCTGAGCAGCCCTGCTCCCTCCATGGTCCAGGCCTGGGCTGAGCTCCACAGGGGCCCAGGCTAGCAGCCTCTCTTCAGGACGCAGTCCTAGAAACTTTCTGCCTGCAAGCAACAAGGACTGATTTCCATTCAACGAATCTGACGATGGCTCCAAACAGACTTGCCCAAATCCCGCCTAGAAAGGTGGGGCTGCCTTCCTTTCCTCCTTCTCAAAGGCCTCCTTAGCGTGGGCACACTGTGCTGAGCTCCTGGTCACAAAGGTGGACTGGGGCAGAGAAAGCTGGTAGTGAGGGTGGCAAGCTCTTGTCCCCAGGGGCCAGGCAGGTGGAAGGCTGACCAGCCCAGGGGCCTCATACAATTCAGACAGAAGGGAGGAGTGAGGACAGACCAGAAGAGAGCCTGCCGGCCCTCACGAGGCAGCTGCTGCAACTCAGACTCTGCTAACTGTCACCACAGGAAAACGGGCTAGGGGCTGCCAGGCACCAAAATGGCCCACCAACAGCCAGGCGTTGGATGACAGGTAAAGTCTGCCAATGTTTAAAACACTGGCTACCTTTTTTTTTTTTTTTTTTTTAAGATAACGAACACCAGGCACACCCAACAAACCAAGTCTGTGGGCGGGATTCTCTGAGCTGGAGGTGGAAGGCTGGTGGGGCCCTGGGAGTGAGCCCGGTAAGGGACTTCCTTCTCCTTCGCTGCCACCTAGTGTTCACACATGGGAGCAAACGTTCCCTCCAAAAGGGAAAGGCGGAAGAACAGAGAAAGTGAAGACCAGTCCGCAGGTGGACCCTGCACACAGAAAATCCAGACCCGGCCCCAGCTCGCAGCCACCCTCCCCTCCCCCAGCTCCTGACTCCGTGCCCAAATCACTCTGAGACATGGCCGAGTGCCCACTACTATGGCCCCCATGTCCGGGGACCAAGGTGAGCAAGTCAGGGCTCTTGGTCACCAGGCTGGAGCAGCACCCTGGCCCAGGATTCAGGACGTGGGGACCTAGTGGAGCAGTTCCGAGGAGACTCAGAACCATGGCTGGTCTCAATCAGCCTCAGGACCCAGGACAAACTGCCAAAGCTTTCTGAAGCTCGGTTTCCTCCACTGGGAGCCGGGACTAACGCCTCCTCCCTGGGCATCTCTCCTCCCAGGGCATGTCGGGCCTTGCTGGGGTACTTAGTACTGGTGGTGACTGGAACAGAGCAGAAAATGTGGCGTGGCGTCATCTCCCATGTCCTCTGTCAGCAAAGACAGCACGGAGTGCTTTACTCTCAGAAATAAAAACATCTCTTGGTGAAAGGCCTGCTTCTCCCCAAGACCAGCAGCGGCAGGCCAAGAGATACGCAGGCACCAACACTGAGTATCTGCTTCCCAGGTTATCCACAGTGTGGCCACAGCCACTGAAGTGGGGGGCGCTGAGGGGCTCTGCCCAGCCAGTGCCCTCCTCTCTGACCATCCCTAAAGTCTGGTGTAATCCTGGTTCTGTCTCACTGGACAGAGTTCACTAGATCAACAAAATAGAGACACCAAAGATGGTGAGAGAGAGAGACTCAGAGAGAAGCAGAAGTGGCTGGACAGATGGACACAAAGAGGAAGTCCCCAGGCCAGGACTGGCTGTGTCTCTGCTCTCACGTTTTAGAAGACACCCTCTTTCACGCCTGCAAAGGGATGAGCTCATTTGCTGAGGAGTCCGAGTGATTGGCTCCTGATAATGGTTTGCTCCTGATAACCAGAGTGCCTTGCTGTGAACAGCCCCCATCTCCAGTTCTGCCCCCCAGACCCCAGTAACAAAATCAAAGGGTGAAATCTAGCCCATAGTGGGTGCTCAATCAAGACTGGCTGAAATTATGCATGGGTGGATGGGTTGGTGGATGGATGGACAGATGAACACATGGATGGGTCCATGGGGGGGTGGATGGACAGATGAACACATGGATGGGTCCATGGGGGGGTGGATGGATGGACAGATGAATCCACAGATGGGTGAGTGGATGGATGGATGGGTAGATGATGAAGAAAAGGGAACAAACGTGGACTCACCTGTGACATTTTTCACAAGTTTGGATCCAGCCTTGGGTGGCGGGGTGGGCAGCAGCGGGGGGCTGGGCAGCTGGCCCATGGATCTCTCCAGGGGTCTGTGCGGACTCTCCAAGGAGTCAGATAAGGCTTGAGAAGGCTCTTCTGAGGTGGACAAAAGGCTCCTGTCCTCTGTATCTTCACCACTGGATGCTAACGGAGACTTGGCTGGTCGAAGGGCAAAACAGAGAGCTTACAGAAGGCAGATCCTCTGACTGTGGAGGGTGCATGAGGGATGTAGGGCCCTTGGCTGGCAGGAGGTGTACGGGGTGTTTAACACTGAGCAAAACACAAGGGAACCATCACGTACACCCTCAACCAGTGAACTCAGCTCCTAATACAACCATGAGAAACGGGAGGGAGGGACACCTGAGAGCTGTTTACTCACGAGCTTCAAGGCAGGCTCTGCCTTGGCCATAGACCACCCCCCACCAGGGTGATGATCTCCAGCACAGGTTTGAGGGTCAGACACACCTGGTCTCAAGGTGACTCTGCCACCCACTGGAGCCTTGGGCAAGTTCCTAAACCTCTCTGTGCCTCTGCTTGCTCATTCGTGACACCAGGCAACCCTAAGGGTCCCAGAGGTGATGATGACATATGGCCCTGGGACATGTTCACTCTTAAGTGGCCCTGCCCCTTGGCAAGCCGGGAGGTGAGTGGTGGGGGGTAGGGGCAGAGAGGTGCCTTGGAGAAAGGGACCGCCCCCCAGAGCCCTGGCCTTCTCTCCTTGAGCATGCTAATCCAGGCTCCTGCCCTACCACCCCCTCACCTCCTGGAGCCCCCAGCCTGGCCACCCTCTGCCATCTAATAATCCAGCACTGTTCCTTGCCCATATCTCTTTCTACCCAGCTCAGAACCCAATGTGCACCACCTCTAGGGCGCTCCCACCTGCACCTGCCACGCCCTTTGCCCCACCCCCTTCTCATTCCCCTCTGTTCTGGTTCCCTAGTGCCGCTCTGACAAGAATATACAACAAATGGGATGGCTTGAACAAAC